CTGAGTGGACCTACTGATTATACTGTGATAACGCTATCAAGGCACTAATCAGTGGAAATTACATGAGGACAAATTTAAGAGTATTACTATAAAAAATGACAAGGTGTGGAAGATGATTGCTGCAGAATTATACAAGGAAAATCCTCTTTGGGAATACACTGGAAAACAGTGCGAAAACAAATTTAAAGACGTTCGAAGAAACTATGTCAAAACTAAGGACAATAATGTAAACAAGAGTGGGCAAGACTTGCAAACTTGCAAATTCTACGATGAAATGGATGCAACACTTGGCGAAAAGCCACTTATTAAACCTGTCGCTATCGCTTCCAGCTTGAAGAAAGACAAGCGCTCAATATCTTCTGAAGACAAGGAAGAGGAGGAAAACTTTAAAAAAATCTTAAAACCTGAGAAGTCTAAGAAACTAAAAAACAAATAAAATTAACAAAGAGCTAGAATAATTCATGCTCCAACAAGAAGAAAGAGCTACTATACGAGAACTAGCCAAGCAAAAAACGACATGAGGAAAGAATGCGGCTTCAAAGTGAAGCAATTGAATAGTACGAAACTATGAACGAGTTGTTAGATAAGTTGAACTAACTGAAAATTCTATTATTATTTTTTTCAAAGTTTATTATTCTTAGGCAAGATGTAATAAATCGTACAAAGTGAGACTTTATTTTTTCAGTTAGGTTAAGAGAAAAAAAATTATATTTTCATATATACGAGGGTCATTTAAAAAACTTCCGGCCTTTTTAAGAAAAACATATATTTCGAAGCAAAACAAAATTTATTTCTCGATGTAGTCTCCCTGCAACTCGATACATTTGGTCCAACGTTTCTCCCATCCTTTTAAACCGTCAGAAAAAAATTGATTGTCTAGACCTGAAAAATATTGATTTACAGCGTTTTCCACCTCAGCATTTGACTTATATTTTTTCCCCGAGAAATTTTTTCAAATTTGAAAACAGGAAAAAGTTGCTGAGAGCTAGATCTGGCGAGTAGGGTGGGTGTGGAAGCAATTCAAACTTCAATTCGTTCAATTTTGACATTGCGCTTTTGGTCGATCGTCAACAAGCGCGGCACCCAGCGCGCGGATAATTTTCTCATATCCAATTCTTTATGATATCTCACAAGCCTCAGCAATATCCTTAACAGTCAATCGACGATCTTCCATCACAGTTTGGTGCACAAAATCGATTATTTCGTCAGTTGTAGCGATTTTCGGGCGCCCGGAACGTTCCTCGTCTAAAATCCTCGTACGACCCCACGTTTGTACTCGGCCACCCAATGTTTGACCGTTGTAAATGAAGGGGATGCTTTACCATATACAGAGTCTAACTTATCTTTTATTTCCTGAGTCTTTTTTCCTTTCAAATGAAGGAATTTTATCACTGCGCGATACTTGATTTTCTCCATTGTTGACAGACAATGTCAGCTGACAACTTTGGAGAGTTGCCATAGACAGAGTAATGATCAGAATGACTTCAAATTTTTACGGTTTACATATGTCAAGGCTATCTATCGGACGGCGAAAGAAACTTTTTTCTACAGTTACTTTATGTTGATAAGGCCGGAAACTTTTCAAATGACCCTCGTAATGTTGATACGAACTTTCAATTGAGACCAATCCGAATAAAATCGGTGCAGTCAATCCCGAGATTTCGAAATCGAGTCTACGAAAATGCCACTTTGGCGGTTCCAGTTTTCATCTTATTATTCTTATTCAGATTGTCCGCCAAGGCGCATTTGCAACACCCAAAGCGAGCGACTGTCCGTCAAGATGCGTTCTTATGTGAGATTACGCGCGCCGTTCGAAAACATAACGTGTCCTTACGTGTCATCATTTCATC